AGTATTATCCAGACGGGAGACCTTGTCATTATCAAGGACGATAACTTACCACCTTTGCAATGGAAGCTTGCGCGGGTGAATCAGCTGTTCCCAGGTGAAGATGGAGTGACAAGAGTCGTTAGTGTGCGATTCGGTAATGGAACAATTGCCAAACGTGCTCTGACTAAAGTGTGTCCACTACCAATTTACAGTGATTTCGGTGAATTAACCAGTGCGGAATAATTAATCTGGCTAATTTGAAGCCTTGCTATTAATTTTAGATCATTAGCTTTAAGCATTTGTTAGTAATTTGACAACATTAATTTAAGGCAATTTGAAGTTATGTTTTGCGTTATTATTTTTGAAATGTGTGTATTTCAAGGTCGGCGGAATGTTCATACCCAAAGGCCTAAATCAGAAAAAATAATTATTTTAATTTAAATTTCGCATTATCCTTGGCAATATCTTAGTTCCAAGTCGTCCGCAATTGGCAGCGCCAACCAAGGATTGAGCGCGCGCGACAAGGATAGTCATTCGGTTCTGTAGAGTTCAACAGTAAACATTACCTTTTTGTTTGTAACGAATATTTCCTAGTTTGTACAATAAACCATCAAAATAAAAGTTTACCATCTTATTTATTCAGCAATTTATACAGTCCACTATCAACCAAATACATATAGCTTAAGCTTGAAGAGTCGAACAACTTCTCTATGTGGAAAAATTTTGTTCGCGGGAGGTTTTCCTAAAATCGTACATCAAAATGTCCTGGGTAGGGTAAAAATGGAAATACCCAACAACGGACAATATTTTATTGACGGATAATTAAGTACGCCTTATTAAGCATTCCTGAAACTCTCATCTTGCTGGTTATCACTTAACTGACATAACCAAAAATCATAAAAAGAACATGTTGAGGATGAGGGACAAGTGGAAATACCCAATATTTTTGTCGGACAATGTTATAGAGAAGCATTACTAGAACTTGTGAAGCATTCCTCAGAGTATCAGGTTGCTGGTTATCACATAAGCATAAAATTGACATATCTTCCAAGCCTTCCGATGTGCCGAAGGAAAACCTCCTGCGAACAAGATTTTTCCATGTAGAGAAGTTGTCAAGCTTAAGCTATACACGAGCTTACAGCCACTTACCATTGTATGTTATGTTAAAAATATCGTGATATCCAATGCATGGGTTATGTAAACAGGGGATTTATTGAGGTACCTACTCGAAAATTTCAAATTACATACTATGTATAAGTGAAATGACAAAATTGTCATTTATAAGATATTTTGTTAAAATACCATCTTTTAAAGAAATAATTTCGCTTGTATCTGACAATTCACCAACTGTGCCACAATAAAATAATTTCGAAGGACACGGCCTATCAAAATAGTTAGTGAAGGACATGCATTTTCTATATGCAATGAAAATTATATTTTTTTCAACATAAATTTTTTCCAATTTTGCAGGTACTTCAGATTCTTTTAAAATAAAATAGCAATTTGGCTTCCTCAGTGTTAAAAGAATATCATGAAAACGCACACATCCAAAATAATCTATATGTTCCCCATTATCACTGATCTTAAAGTCAAGTATCTTCGAAAGTTCTATATCTTTCCTATTATAAGGTTTTGACGAAAATACATTATATTCATTTATTTTCTTGACAAAATGTCGTAGGGGAAACTTAGTGTTTTTTAATGACATTTTTATTGTATGCATATAGTTTTCAAATTTAAAACAACTGAAGTTATCAAGCGGTCCAAATTTCTGGATATCTGCAGGTAAGTGTACTAAATTGTGCACATTGTGGTTAACATATTCAACACCATAATGTTCACCAAAGTTTTCTACAAAGTATTTAAGCAAGTCTGCTGCAAACTGATTATATTCGAGACATAAATGCTCAGTTGTTAATATTCTCATTGCAGTGTGTAAACACATAAAGTGCATATATAATGAGTTACTCATATTATTTTTTAAAAGTACTGGTCCATAGTACAATAAAAATTGCCTTAATTCTGTAGCTTTGAACCGCTCAATATCATTCAAAGATCTTGGCTTTCTTACAAATTCCACAATGCTAACTTTTCGGAATTTTTGAATTGAATCATTAATGGTATTGAGTTGTGTTTGATTTAACCTGACAGACTGATTTCCCTTCACCCAAAATAGTATAAGCCTTTTAGTTACCCCAAGACATACTAAGTGCATGTAATCGAGGGGTACCTGACTAACGAGCCCAATATTTAACTTTAACATTGATGTCGCTATACCCTTATGGAAATCTTCATCAACCATATTTTTGAATGAGTCATCAGTTCTTAAAGGGGAATTTAATTCTGGATATGAGGGGTTCACAGCAAAAGTGGTGTAAGTCAATAATTTGGAAAAATGTAAATAATATCATTGTTATAGAAAACTACTCTCTAAAATCATATTTTTCATTGCCAAAGCGGTGTAAGTCATTTGTCCATAAATAACGCGATAGATGGCGTAAGTTGTCTTTTTGCTTTGAAAAATATTGAACATTATTCAGAGCAGAACTGGTGTAAGTCAATTTCTAACCTCATTTCGTGTTTTATGTGTATTTTATGACTTTTGCAGCAAATTTGAGTAGTTTTGCTGAGTCGTTTGTGTAAAATTAGTATACAAAATGGATACTGGCGAATCTGAGGATGAGGATTATTCAAGTTCGTCGAGTTATGAGCCCTCAAATTTGGGTAAATGTGATTTATCAATTTTATTAATTTATCTAGCTATTTTATAATTTTTTCAAAGATTGTAAGTCGACTTCTATCTTATATTATAGGATCAGAAGAGGATACTGATGGTGAAGGGGAAGAAGAAGTGAATATTCAGGCTGAAGAAGGGGAAGAAGAAGTGAATATTCAGGCTGAAGCCCATTCGCCGCCCAGACGCGGCAGAAAAAGAGTACGAAATGAAAGTTCTTGGAAGAAAAACGTTAGAAAACGTTGTCGAAATGAAGGTGAGCAGTACGTATCTTCAAGGGGGCGTGAGGTACCAGCAAAAAGCTTTCAGAATATCAACTGTGGATGTAAGAAAATGTGTAATAATCGTGTAAATGAAAATGAGAGAAAAATAATGCATGACTCGTTCTGGAAATTGGGAGATTTTTCAAAACAAAATACATTCATACATGGGCTTATAAAATCTGAAAGTATTAAACAGAAGCGTCCTCGGGATAATTCCAAAAGCCCTAAATCTGTAACATACCAATATAGTCTTAAAATTAACAACATTAATATACCAATATGTAAAAAATTTTTTTTGCAAACATTTGAGATTAGTGATGGTAGACTTTACAGAATTCTTGCAAAGAAAAAAGTATCTGATATTACTGATGGTCGCGGTAAAAAAATCCCTGCCAATAAGATAAATGACTTAGATGTTATAGAGCATATTAAATCATTTCCAGCTTATCAAAGTCATTATAGTCGAAAAGACAATCCCAATAGAAAATATTTAAATCCAAACTTGTCAATTCATAAGATGTACGAAATGTATGTTGAAAAATGTACAAATGAAAATAAAATGCCAGTTAAAGAAAAATTTTACTATAAAGTTTTCTCTACTAAATTTAATTTGCACTTCAAACCCCCTATAAAAGATTCCTGCAGAACATGCGATGAACTGCACTTGAAACTTCTTTCCGAAAATAATGAAGAAATTAAAACAGACCTTCAAACCCAAAAAAATCTTCACTTAGCAAAGGCTAAACAAGCACGAGACTCACTAAACAAGAATAAGAATGAAGCATCTGATACACTTTATGTAGCAACGTTTGACCTACAAAAAGCATTACCATTCCCACAGTTAAGCACATCTGTTGCATACTACAAAAGAAACATGTATATTTACAACTTTGGAGTTCATTCATTTAATTTATCAAATGGATTCATGTACATGTGGGATGAAACGGAGGGGGGTAGAGGATCCCAGGACATTGCAAGTTGTCTCGTGAAGCACTTGATGGAGAACGCACGTGAATACGACCATATAATTTTATACTCTGACTCTTGCACAGGACAAAACAGAAATATAAAATTAGCACTCACATTATTGAAACTGGTTCAGAATAATAACATGAATGTAAACACTTTAGATTTAAAATTTTTAGTTTCTGGACACTCATTTTTACCCAACGATGCTGATTTTGGGGTAGTAGAAAAAGCCAGCAGAAAACACTCACAAATACATGGCCCAGAAGATTGGATAGATATTGTAAAGGGGGCAAAACGTACAAGGCCCTTCCAAGTATTTCAAATGAAAAGAACTGAATTTTTGTCGACAAAGAGTCTTGAAGATTCCATAACAAACCGCAAAAAAAATGTGGGAGGAGAGACTTATAGCTGGCTCAAAATCAGGTGGTTCAGATTTGAACGTGGTTCACCATTTAAATTTAAGTATAAGGAAACTCTCAACGAAATGATAGATTTTAATGAAGTTTCCTTAGCAAAAGCAGGAAAAGGAAAACAGCCTGTTTCACTACCAGAAAATCAGGATGTTTTATATCCCCAAAGGCGTATTGTTACACAACAAAAAAAGCGCGATATGCTGGACCTATTACCATTCATCCCCCCCATTCGTCATGCTTATTTTAAAAATCTTCCAACAGAAATTAGGACTCGTCAGGCACAAACAGCAAGGCATGAAACCTCCTCAGATGAAGATGAATGGGTTTTTGATTAAAAACCTTGTAGTTCAATATAACTTGATATATTTTGTATTCATATTACTTTAATAAAGATTGTAAAACATTTTATTTTAATTATTTTACCTGAAACTTTCAGTGCAAAAGTGGTGTAAGTCAATTTATTATCAATTTTTTGTAATTATTTTACCAATAGGATAAAATAAGTATACAAATTATAATAAAAAATACAATATTAGTTATATACTTTGAAATAAAAAACAAATAAATAATTATCTTGCCATATTTTTTTAAAAACTTTAAATAAACTTTAAAGCCTGATTACACAAAACAATAATTTTTGACTTACACCACTTTTGCTTTGAACCCCTCATATGTCATTCTGTTATTCACAAAGCTTCCTTCTGTAGAACACTTTGTGCATCCAAAATAGGCATTGTGGCTCTTAATGTTCAAAATGAAAGCCTTTGCGGGAGCATCGCAAAGCACTTTTGTAATTCGTACCTGAATATCTTTATTTTTATATTTAAAACCTTGACTACTAATTTGGAAAAAGTCATCGGCAACATACTTTAAAAATTCGTTGGGGTCTACGGGTTTACTAAAACCATGATAAACTCCAACAGGGAAAACAAAATCGTTATTGAGATTTTCAATATTACATAGAATAGGCCAAAACTGACTCCCACTACTTTTGGCAAGTGGTAACCCATCCACATTTATTTCTATCTGTAATTCTCCAAGAGGTGTAAAGTTAAATCTGTCCAACACTGAAATAATAGACTGCTTTAATCCAAAATGGTAATAATAACCAGGGAACATATGACGAGCTTCATATGGGACAACTTCTTTTGTTTTCAGAACTGTCCGTGCATCTATGGAAATTGGTAGATCAAGATCTTGTTTTAAAATATGTAATAATTTTGTGTATGTATTTTGTGGTACTCTACAATCGACTGCCTAAGTATTTAAATGAGATAAAAAAGAGTTAGTTTTCTCTGGAGAAAAAATATTTTTTACATCAACTGGCTTTTTAATAATAGCTTCAACTAATTTATCACTAATTTCAGTGTGTTGATTATCATTAGCTGTGTTAAAATCAGGAGCACGAGGAACAGAGGAAGAAAGGGAGGAAGAAGTGAGAAGAAGCAATGGATCTGGGGGAGTACTGATGGCTTGTGAAGTACTTGGAAGATTCCGTTGATTTTTGAGCCAACTTTCCTGTCGGACTTTTAATTGTTTCTTATATTTCTTTTTTTCTTGGTTTATTATCCGATTCACATGACGAATGGAGTATTGGAATCCTCTTTTCCGAGTCTAGAAAAATTAATTGGGAAGCCTAATTAAAATTATTGATGAAATTATTAAAATTATAAAAACTAGTTTTACTTTTGTTTATAATAGTTTTTCGAAAAACGCTATGTGTATTTTTTCAATGGTATTTTTGAAGTTTCTCGATTTCAAATTTTATTGTCGGGTAAACCGAGGGGTAAAGTTTTTGTCTGGTTTATATAATATTAAGTATGTTTATTGAACAAAAATGTTTGTGTCTCCAAATCAATGACCTCCAAATAGAGAATGACAAAAGAAAATATTTGGATAAGAACACAAAATAAAAAGCGGATCAAATATTCCCCAGTATATTATGCAAATACAAAGCGTTTTATTTTTAGTCCTTATTCGATTACTTCCTTTTTCCTTATTAGTTTATGTGAGTAGGTGGGTAAAGGTTAACTGGATACTGGATATTGAATGGTCACGTTCCAAGAGACTCAACATGTTGAGTGCTTAGTGAGCGGCTTTGTTAAAAACAGATGAAAATCAGCTCTAGGCCAATCGAAACTGTTCTACCTTGTGTATTCCACTTGATGGAACAAAGCCGCTCACTAATCACTGAACATGTTGAGTCCCTTGGAACGTGACCAATGATGCTTTCCAACAATGACAAATATAAAACAGGACCTTAACGTCCATAACCTAACCTAGCTTGTATAACTGAACTGAACTGAACTGTAAAATACATAATTATCAACCCCTCATTTCATATTACAGTAGTAATAATTGCCATTTCATAAAAAGTGGCACTTACCTTTTTAACTTCTTCTGCTGGGGAGCTCATTTTAACTCCAAACAACGGATCACTACGAAAAATATGCAATAAAATTGCAAGTCATGCCATTTGACAAGTTAGGATTATTTTAGGTTAGGGTACTTAGGGTAGCGTTCACAGACACTCGATCGGTAACTTTCAATGTTTCTATCTTTGTTTGAAGCGTGAAAAGAGCTGAGACGGAAATCGGTGCCCCTGCCCGACTTGAATAGCGAACGCAGCCCGCGACTCAAGGATATTAGAACAGAAGGCAATCCATTCAATGACCGCGGGGAGTAGACAAACAGCTTAGTCGGGGAGCTGGCGTCGAAAATATGCAAGAGTTTTCGCAAGGCTCATATTTTCAGAATGAGTAGCATTTTAGTGCTACAAAGCTAGGCTACAGTCAGCAGTTCCAGTTCCGGGACACCTGGCGCTGAGATGCGCGCAAAGGTGTATTTTTAATCAACACCTCGCAACAGTTTTCGCAAAGCTGAAAATTTGCAAAGAGCATGCGAATATAATGTAGAACCATAATTTAACAGTCAGACAAAGAAATACGGGGACACGTAGAGTCAGCGCGACTTTGAAGTGGTCAAAAAAATGACGTCACCGAAAGTGTTTTCGCATGGCTGAAATTTGGCAAGGTAATAGTAAAAGCAATATATTTATTGAAAAAAACAGTCAGACACTTCTATGTCGGGACTCCCTCAGTCAGCAGTCGATTAAAGTGATATAGGTGGTAGCGCGCGTCAATAGTATTTTACTCTATAATGATCTACATTTTAAAAATATTTTTGTTTATGCGGTATTCCCGCTTCTACTCTAAGCCAGTGGCAACAGCGCTATTTTAAATGGAACACCCTGTGTGTGATTACATATTTCGATTCTTCGTAAAATTCTGAGCATATTTCATGTGATATACCCTATACCTAAGTTCAACTGTTTTGGAAATATTAACAGTTGAAAATTGACTTTTTGCAACTTTGACAGGCTGTAAAACCTGAACGGTTAATTTTGGAGAAAAACCAATTTTACATTCCTATCTTAGATTTTCATGAACTATCATTTGACACCAACTTTGAATTTAACCGAAGATTAAATTTAATTGAAATTTTTAATCATGGATTAAATTTGAAGTTGGTGTCAAATGATAGTTTATAAAAATCTAAGACAGGAATGTAAAATCGGTTTTTCTCTAAAATTAACCTTTCAGGTTTTACAGCCTGTCAAAGTTGCAAAAAGTCAATTTTCAACTGTCAATATTTCCAAAACAGTTGAACTTAGGTATGGGGTATATCACATAAAATCTGCTCAGAATTTTACTTAGAATCGAAATATGTAATCACACACAGGTTGTTCCATTTGAAATAGCGCTGTTGCCACTGGTTTATAGTAGAAGCGGCAACACCGCATAAACAAAAATATTTTTAAAGTGTAGATCATGGTCGTTTATCCCGGTTGCCAAATTTTCAAAATTATCCGCTTTTTAGTTCTCCATAAATGTCTAATACGCCATCTACCGTATATATCCATTTCGATGAATAATTTTATTTTTATAATTTAAATTATTTGGAATCGGAAACGGTAAAATAAAATTGTACATGCAGTTAAAAATATTAAAAAGTTTGCGGTTAGAAAAAAGCCCGATTCGTATAAATATTACTGGAACATTTAATCAGCAGTACTGTGATAGTATATAGTAATTAAATAAATTCAGTTTTAATTATATTTATTGTAGTTTCATTATAGTTATTAATGATACTAGTTCGATATGAACACCATAATGAAACGCGTGTAACGTTAAACCACGAGGCGTCAGCCGAGTGGTTTAGTTACACAAGTTTCATTAATTAAGTTCATATCGAACGTGTATCATTCAAAATTTAATCTACGATGGTCCAAATAGATTTGATTTGCCTTGAAATAGCAAATACTTTTCAAATTAAAATTCAAAATTCAGCAGGTGCCCGTACTAGTCGGGAACCTGCTTGTTGATTTTTAGTATTTTGACTTTGGCAGCTTTAATATTGGAGTCAATTTTTGTGCGATAAACTCACTTTTATAGTGGAAAATAATGTTAATATTGGTGATTCTGAGTTCGAAAGTGTCCCTTCAAATATCCAAACAGCATCAGTGAAAAGGTTCTTCTGATAACTAGCTTTCTTTTTGTATATTTTTCATTTCATAATTTGGGTGTTTTTATGAATTCTTAAACGCACTGGTGCTATTATGAAGGACCTAATGGCATTCATGGCATTCAAATGACAATGCTAAATGTGTCATAATGACACCGACGTAGATTAAATACATATAATCGTCGCCGATTTTATAAAATACAAAAAAAAAATTCTAATCACTTAAATAGAAAAAAATTAATGGGGAAAAATTACAAAAATGAAATTCAATTTTCCAAATTACTGTCATCGTGTTCTTCACTACTTTCTTCGTCAGAATAAAATGCTACTGCTCCATATTCTTCGACGCCCTCTGTAGTTGTGGATTCCGAATCTGCGTAAAACAAATATTCAATGATAAGTAATCACTCACATTAAAAAACAAAATTTCGAATTATATCTATGAATTTATTAGCAAAAATTACCTGCAGATATTTCATCCGTTTTGTTTATCGGATGAATCACCCCTCTGACCCCGCTACCTCATTATGGAACAAAACAAATATGCTTGTTGATCCCTCTAGCAGTTTAAAGCTCGATGGTTGTCGCACATCTGCCGCTTCCGTTCCCCTAATCTCGACCTAACAGTACCATAATGAAGTTTCCGAATTCGAATGCATATACGCCTTAGTCAAGTATACGCGCTTACGCTTGCAACTTACAGGTTTACACTTACTCATTAAGAGAAATTTATTTTTATTTTACCGTTTCCGATTCCAAATAATTTAAATTATAGAAATAAAATTATTCATCGAAATGGATATATATAGAGTAAAATTCTATTGACGCGCGCTACCACCTATATCACTTTAATCGACTGCTGACTGGCGGGGTCCCGACATAGAAGTGTCTGACTGTTTTTTTCAATAAATATATTGTTTTTACTATTACCTTGCCAAATTTCAGCCATGCGAAAACACTTTCGGTGACGTCATTTTTTTGACCACTTCAAAGTCGCGCTGACTCTACGTGTCCCCGTATTTCTTTGTCTGACTGTTAAATTATGGTTCTACATTATATTCGCATGCTCTTTGCAAATTTTCAGCTTTGCGAAAACTGTTGCGAGGTGTTGATTAAAAATACACCTTTGCGCGCATCTCAGCGCCAGGTGTCCCGGAACTGGAACTGCTGACTGTAGCCTAGCTTTGTAGCACTAAAATGCTACTCATTCTGAAAACATGAGCCTTGCGAAAACTCTTGCATATTTTCGACGCCAGCTCCTGGACTAGCTGTGTGATCTAGAAAACATGCAAAATGGAAAGTAGTTATTTGATAAAACTTTTGGTGGAATCCCTGACGTTAGCCAGAATCTGGCATGCAATATAATAGGGAGATTTTGGACCAGTGAAAATAGCATCAAAAATTACAGAAATATTCGTTAACTTTAATTACATTCAAGATAACGGAAGGTAAATAAAAACGAGTTTTTGGAGTGGATTTATGAATAACGATATTTGTGGTTATTTTGTCATCTTGTTGTTTAACCTAACTTTCTAGTAAATATTTGGGACTTTCTTTTTCGCTGTTTTTTCTTTCCTGCGTTTGTATTTTGTAAAATTGTTTTGTTTTGTGTGATTTCCTGGCTAAATTGAAATGAATGAAAACATAGAGAATGTCATTAGAAGAGGCCTACCAGTAAACATAGATCTTGTTCGACAAATAATTTTGAGATATGTTTTTGATTGGCAACAACAACCGCAAGTTCAAGAGGAACCCGAACCTGTATTTGATCAAAACAAAAATACAAAATTCGCCCAGAAAAAAATAAACCACATAGGCCATTATCCACATTAAACAAACTAAAACATTTGAGGTCAGAACATTACGCTGTCAAATGCACAAGGGCGAAAATCGCGTGTCGCTAGTGTCAAATAAGGGAAAAATTCGCTAAAGTTATTCGCCGTAAATAAAGTACCTTCGTTATCGTTATAAGCTCCGCCTCTTTCCTTTTTGAGTAGTGCGCATGCTCAAAGTCGAAATAACCACAAAAATCGTTATTAAAAGACAGTTTTCACTGGTCCAAAATCTCCCTAATGTTCTAAAAATTGTTGGATGGCCTAATTGGATTGATTTCGGTTTTCTTTCGGTTATAATACCTACTACACTACCTAAATGAAACTGTCAATTGTTGTCAAGCCGATGATAAAATTATATTGTTTAGTAGAGTAGATTGATTTAAATTATCAGAAAATACTATTATATTTTTATCAATGATTATGAACATAACAGTGACATTATATGATCCAGAAAATGCCACAAAAGAATGACTATGAACATGATAGTGACATCTTAGCAATGTGCTTCTAATGTTTATTGTGGCTCTACGAAAATATGTTAGCAATATTGAATTCAGGTGTTCATGTAATATTCGGAAGATTGTTGAGATTTGAAATATTATATCAATATGATTTCAAAAACATCACAAAAGTTACTTGAAAAAAATGTTACGTGATGTTTATGTGATATAACATGTTTGGCGGGTTGCAACAATTTTATTTCTAGTCGGGTTCTAGGTCCTTGGGGCATTTTCTCTAAGAGTTGCGTAATTCTTTCGCATATAGGATCGATTGAAGCAGATAGGCAAATCCTGTGTCACTTCTGAACGTTCTTATTAGCAATCTTGAATCCCATAGAGGGGGCAGTGCTTGAACACACAATATGAGCAGCTCTTCAACAGGACATTCTTCTACAACTTCCTAACAACAATAATTCATTTTAAAATATGTAGGTACTACTATAGTGATATTTACCTAAATCGTTTCAAGATTATCTAAAATTAATTCTTACTTCTGGAAAAGTCCTTTTTTCCCATTCATTGTCATCGACGGCGACATCAAAAATGCTTTTAGATTCTTCCATGACTTCATATCAA